ACTGCCACACGTCGGGGTGACGGCAACGGATTCATGTCCAGTCCCTTCTCCTGTCGCGCCCGCTTTGTTTTGTATCTATGATTCTGTCATTATATTAACAAATATTTACTAACTATTCAGCATTTTTTGTGTCATATTTCAATTATAATAATTATTAAAAGTTAGATATTTTAACTAATCGCCATTTAATGACAAATACAGTATATGCTTATTATCAATAGTTAATCCTAAATGTCAATGAGACAAATGATTGCAACTTCTATGTCATTTATATAATAAATCAAACATACAAGTGTAAGTCTCTCTCCACAAAGTTTAATATACGAAATTTGTAAAAGTAATTTAGTTAAAATTGTTTAAAGTAGAAAACTATCACAAATTAAATCATTTAACAATACCGGCAAGATAAATATTTGGTCGATAAATGGTGTCTTTCATTACACCAACTGTATACTGTAGCTAGCATTTTAGCCACAATAATTGTACAATTCTACAAGTATTGTGAACATAAGAATTAATTTACATGAGACCAAGGTCCTGCAGTGCTATCAATCCATATTATTTTATAAAATTTACTATTTAATAATTAAAAATACAACAATTGTTACTATTAATAATAGCCTATTATATACAGTACAGTACTTTCAATGTGACCTCTCGTCCCATCCCTAATCCCCTAATTTTCTAATTTACAAAGATGGTCACATTAAAGGTATGATCTAATTGAATGTGTAATGCTCTAATTACTGTATTACTGTGATATATATAGCTTATACTAAATTATGTTTAACCTTTTGATTTGTTTGCATTCTTTGTTCAAACTTATCCACAAATGAACACATTTTGAAGAGTTTTATTCATAAACCAATCATTGATGACATTTAAATCTATTTGTAGATTATATGCCGCTATTGTATATCATATTAATAATTAGCAAATTCGTCGGCGTATTGACATAGATGTAAAGTTTTGATATTTTCTGGGAATGTTTAATACCAATTGTGAACACTATTAGAACTGCAGAATCTCCTTGAGGTTCACCACTAGTTATATAGAGATTCAATTAATATCAATAAATGAAATACCGTTTTCTTTGATAAATATAATACTCAATTGTCTTAAAGACAGTTATCAGGTATTCCTATATTTCTAATGTATTTCAAAATAATTCACATTTTATATAATTAATAATTTTATATAATCAAATACATTACCTGTTTCTATAAAATACTCTCAATAATAAATGTTTACTCATTTGATTTAACTTAAGATCAAGTTATTTATGATTTAAGTAACATTATTTTTAAAATTAAATAAATATTTAGTATGTGTACTAAATAAATACTATAAAATAATGTTATATAGCACCTTATACAATTTACTAGAATTTTATTGCACTATATATTTGATAAAGAATAACGTTTTGGCATCGAATTTAATATAATTAGATAAAATCAAGTTATCTAATTGGTTATGTGTAAACAACCATTAATAACGGCAGTGATTTATTGTCGTAACAGTAAAAACTACTTTTATTCAAACCATTATATTATTATATTCTTTTTCTTATAGATATAATTTCATTTTCTAAACCTTATCTCTAATCATATGTACGACAAAATGAGATATAATACATAAAACGAGTTATAATTGTTATCCAAAAACTTCATAAAAAATTATTATATTTTTTACTAAAATTTAATTAAATGTAATTTACATGTTATGTATGAAATACAATGAACGGATACGTTATAATTTTCTCACTTAATTAAACAAGTAATGAATAGTGACTGACCTGGAACCAAATTTTGACTTGAGTTGGTGTAAGTCTGATAATACTGGCCAAATGTTCCCTTTCAGGCGCTGATAGATATCTTTGTTGTCTAAATCTGCGCTCGAGTTCATAGGTCTGTGCCTTTGAGAAGAGAACTCTTCGCTTCCGCTTTTTAGGCGTTTGTTCATTAGAGCCGTTGTTTATATAAACTATTTCTTATTGCAAAACCGTAGCTTAAATTATATTAATCTATTTTAGTTCAATAGATTAACCAATACACATTTGTTGGTAATTATTGCCGTCACTAAATAACAGCATTGTCATTTTTGTACTTTTATTCAAACCATTATATTATTATATTCTTTTTCTTATAGATATAATTTCATTTTCTAAACCTTATCTCAAACGTAATCATATGTACGACAAAATGAGATATAATACATAAAACGAGTTATAATTGTTATCCAAAAACTTCATAAAAAATTATTATATTTTTCACTAAAATTTAATTAAATGTAATTTACATGTTATGTATAAAATAGAATGAACGGATACGATATAATTTTCTCACTTAATTAAACAAGTAATGAATAGTGACTGACCTGGAACCAAATTTTGACTTGAGTTGGTGTAAGTCTGATAATACTGGCCAAATGTTCCCTTTCAGGCGCTGATAGATATCTTTGTTGTCTAAATCTGCGCTCGAGTTCATAGGTCTGTGCCTTTGAGAAGAGAACTCTTCGCTTCCGCTTTTTAGGCGTTTGTTCATTAGAGCCGTTGTGTGAGCCCTCTCTCATACAATCGCCTCCCGATTTGCCTCTTCGACCCCCAATATCTAACATATCGTCTCCCATACCGTCCATATCATCATCGCTTCCGTCAACACTTAAATTACTGTCCGAATTGAAGGGACTGTCCGGTGGACTAATTTGATTGTCTGTATGCGAATCACTAACAATGAGTCCAGTATTTGTTAAAATGGGTTTTGTGTCAATCATGTTAGTGCTGGTCGTAGAGGTGGGCGATAAGACGGCTACGTCTGTGGGCAGAGCGGGTGAGGTGTGTGGCGGTGAGGGGGCCGTCGGGTTTGTCGGCTCAGATAAACTGGTCGATGATGTGGACGATAGCTGTATGTGACCCGTCATGTCGGCCGGGATTTGCAAGGGCTCTAGAAAGCGACTCTTATCCAGTCCTACTTGACTTAAGGGTGCTGTTAATCAATGCAAATGTTGAAATGTACTGTTAGTTTGCTAGCATTTATAGATTTAAAAATACATTTTTTTTGAAACAATATTCAATTTTTTTAATTAACTCTCATTAACTACTTATTACTTTTGATTCATTACTTTTTATTGAATATTAAAGTATTTATGCGTTTATATCGTGAACTTAAAGCCTATTTGCAAATAAATATATTAAATTGCAGACACTCTGGCAGTTATTCGTGTCCTCACAGCAGCACCTTTTGATGAGATGTTATATATGTGTAAAAACATCTGCAATAAGGACTTAGTTTCGGATTAACTGCCAAAAAGGAGAGGACAGAAAAAATAGCGAAATAAAAATATAAAGTTTTATTTCAACGAATTGTGTGGACAGCTGTTTAAATATAAGCTTTGTTTTGAGACATAAGACACAAGCAATCGATGTGTAATATAATTATCAATAAATTAGCTTAAATAATAGCTGTGAGCGTATGTTATATAATAAAATGTATTATAAACTATAGTATAGGCCTTAGAGGTGTGAGATATATCGGCGCAAAAACAGTCAAACTCATGGTTACACAAAAGAGAGTAAAAACTTACGCAATTGTGTTGAATACGTGAACATATCATAAGGTGGTAAACATCGGGAGTAAGGATTGTCGCAAATAGCGGTGGCGTTATAGTAGAGCGCCGGGTGATAGCCGGTAGGGTTGGCCACACTATTGGCCACACCATTGGTCTCCTGGTTGTGGCCGCCGTCCAGAGCCGGTACTCCACCACTGCCTGCGTTCCCATTCACTAAAGGACTGCAATTGTTTTGAGGTTTGGGTGGTTTTGGTCTGGAATTGATTCCATGGATGCAATACTTCGGCGCCCGAAAGTTTGTGGTCACCTCTCGATCTGGCCTTAAGACTGATTATCAGAAATACGTTTTCAATCGTTTCAAAATTTTTTACCAAAAATTCAAGCGATTTGAATGTCAATGGATTGTCTCGACTGCCAATGGGTTCACAATTGAAGGCACAAAGCAATTGTTAAATGAGGCGAAAATGTTGGCACCCATTGGAGGGGTATTTCATTTGACGATAGAATTGAACGACTGTTTGATAGAAAAGTTAACGCTTGAAAAGTTTTGTTTATCTATTGATACAAAACACAAGATCTTTGCAAATCTGGATCAATTGACCCGACAATTGGACTATAAATTAGATTATTTTGTTGTCTTCTCATCCGTTATTTGTGGTAAAGGAAACGGCGGTCAATCAAACTATGCTTTCGGAAACTCCATGTGTGAGCGTATATGTGAAGAGAGACGTAGGGATGGTCTGCACGGACTCGCCATACAATACGGACCCATCGGTGATGTGGGAGTGTTGGAAAGCTCGCAACAGTTTATACAATTCACAACAATGCGAAAGCAGAGAATAAACTCGAGTTGCGATGTTTTGGACAAACTCCTATCAATCAAACAACCGGTAGTCACGTCCTATGTATGTTTGATATGAATTAGAAAATTTTATAAACAATTTTAAAATATATACACAATTTTATAGATTAATGTGGTTATAAGTGGTAAAGAGTCGGGCAATAAAAAGTCACGTGTGATCGCAGAGTTGTGGCGCGCGTTGGGTATCGACCGGGCGGTGACGCCCAACCACTTGACTCTCGGCGAGATAGGGCTCGAGTCGATGGTCGCTGTGGAGTTGCAACAAGAGTTGGAGAGGGAGTGGAATATAAACTTAACATTAAATCACGTCACGGGTATAACCATCGGTATGTTGAAGGACTACGAGGTGGGCAGCCTTGGTAATATGAAAAAACACATGGACAGTTTGAAACTAGCCAGGAACAATTTGTTGAAACAAAAATTTGTAATTCCCACCAAAACCTACAACCGTCTAAACGCCGTTACCACCGGTCGACCCGTATATTTAATGCCAACTATTTTGTTAAATTTCACAATGTTTGAGCATTTGGCACAATCGCTCAATCGGCCTATAGTTGGGCTGAATTGGACGCGAGAAATGTCTAAACTGACCACGATCAAAGAGCTAAATCAGTACTTTATCAAACTGTTGAAACAACTCGAACCAAACGGTGGGTACGATGTGGTCGGCTATTTAGACGGTGCCATCACTTGCAGCAAATTGTTGCTCAAAGGAATGGCTGACAAAGCGGTAATCATTGATGTTTTGTCCGACGAGAGGTTCAATGGGGATCAGCTCTCCGAAGAAGATTTGTTGGTCTTTACAATAAAGATATTGTTCAGCGAAATGCCGGACAGTATTAGGGAAAAGATTGTACGCGATTTAAAGAAAGAGACCGACACTAAGGCCCGCATACGAGTGGTTACCAAAGAGTTTGTCGAACTCGTGGGTAAAGGTCTGGTGGCGCCCGATATTGACGAGATATTTGCCATTTTGTTGGCCAGACTTCGGATGCTTTTGTCTTATAGGGCGGAGAAAAGGAAGGAGTTATCTAATCGGCTCAAAATAACAACCGGGAACAAGTGGTCCAAACTTGTGGGCAAATTGATCATGATCAAACCATTTCTTTTGGACAATGTTGTTGATGTGGATGAATTAATTGGCAAATCACGCGACGCATACTTATTACCCGCCGCACAGGTTTGATACAGCAATTTACACATTCACTAATGCTATTTAACTACTCAAAGTTTCTCTTTCACTCTATCCCTCCAAATACTAACTAATATATTTAATTGTACCAAATGACCAGGATGGTAACAACAGCAACGATAATATAGAGGTGGCGATAATAAATAGTATTCCTAATTTGGATCAAATGAACGCCGAAATGAATGAAAAAGTTTTGGCTGCGCTTATATAAATTTTGCGTCAACTTTTTTTGTATATTAAACTGAATATAACATATTATGTTCATTATAGTAATATTGAGCTAAATAATTAACATTATATTATAGAATATAGAATATTTAACTTAATTTTATATAAACTTTTTTTGTAACAATTAGCAATTGAATTGAATTCTATACACTGTGTATACGATAGTTTGCCCTACTGTGTTTTTCTATAGAAAACCATTGTATGACTACAATATCTTAATCAGTTGTAGATCAGGCATCTGTAGACCGATTTTAATAAACTTGGATGTTTTCAAATAAGTAAAAACTACACTTCAAATTCTGATACTCAATAATTAATTTTCCTGAAATCCCTAAAATATCAAGGGCAATATTTAGATTCTTTCAAAATATTTACATTTTTGTGAATTATTCAATGAAATCCTATGGAAAAGACCAATTACTTAATAAAATCACCAAGGAAAGTATACTCACGATAAATCAGATATTATGTTAAATTAACAAATTGCACATAATGATTATTCTAGCAAATTAATATTAACCATCTACAACTACTATATCCAGAATTATACTAGGTCACAAAATCAATAATATTTGGAATATGATATTTTAACAATAACATTGTTCCTGGTAAACTTAGGGTTTATCCATTATTATTTAAGGCATACCAAATTAAACGTGTATTATTTGCCTTTAAATTCTAATAGTTATTGGTAGACAAAATCCTTAACAATATGACAAAATTATGTATAATGTAAATGCCATAAAATAGGGCAAACTATCGTATACACAGTGTACAATATTTTATAGTTAACTTTAGAAACAATATGAAAGTCTGGCGATCATTTTAATTCTTAATATGCTAAATTCTTGATTATTTTTAATATAACCGGAGTTTTCGGACAAATCCGAAATAAAATAGGCTTTTCGGGAGTGTTTGCAAAATATGCCAAAATCGAATAAATTCGGGGAAATAAAAATGATATAATTTGAAGCCTTTATAACCCTCGAGAATAATGGGATGTTTATTTCCGATCATTTAAGTAAATAAATTTAATCGGGAATTCCCGAAAAATAGAGATTTAATTACGACTAATTTGATGTATTGATAATTAAAATTAAATTTTATTTTGTACAATTTGATATATAAATTGTAAAAATTGGTTCAGTACTGTTTGAGTTATTGAGTTATAACTACTACTCATTGTCCATAGGAAACACATTGTACCCCATGATCGCCAATCTTTTATATATTCCTTGTAAAGTTGCTTAAATACATGTATATTAGTAATTGAAAAATTTTAAATTTTGAGTGCCGGTGGTGCCCGTCCCGATAAAGCCTGTGCATGCATGTTATTTTTTACATGCATAAATATAAAACATGCAATTTTGCTGTATTCATATATAAATTTAAATGAAATAATTTAATTTTTGATTTAAGTATAGTTCGAAATGCTAAAAATATTAAACCAAGAATTTCAATCTCTAATTTATATTGTATAGAATTAGAATCAATTGTTACAAAAAAAAAGTTTATATAAATTTAAGTTAAATATTCTATATTCTATTTAATATAATGATAATTATGTAGCTCAATATTGCTATACTGATCATGATAATAAAATATATAGATTTAGACACACACTCTCTTAGCACAGTATTAGGTCCGGTTCTACTTTTATAACACAAAAATCAAAATTAATTTTATAGATATTTAAAATTTACATTTTATGTGACATTTAACGTAGATTACGAATATAAAATCAAATTTTTTTTACCTCAAATATTTTTCGACTTATTCGAGTTAGAATTTTTTTTTTGAAAATTTTGAATATGCAGTAAATTATATATATTTTATATCAAATCAATATGAAATTTAACGCTGAAATTGAAATTCAAAATTTTTTATCTCAAATATAATTCGACTTATTCGACTTAAAACCATTTTGTTGAAAATTTTGTATGTTGTTAAAAGTAAATGTATTTAACTAATTTGAATCAAAACTTGAAACTAAAACTATTGATATTTCGCTTTCTTTACATTATATATTGATTTCTAATACTAAAACTCACTTATATTTGAATTAAATTATAAATATTTCAACTTTTACGTTAAAATTTAGCTAAATTTAAGAAATAGTTAAAATAGTTACTAACGCCTCAAATAGATAAATATAGGTAAAATAAACTTTCGGCAAACTGACCCCTAATACATGATCGGTTCACATCCCGAGTCTGGGGGTAATACTATTAACAGCTAAAAATAGGTGGTATAGGTAAATGCAATTCCCTGATGATATCTCATAAAAATTTATTATTTTTGTTTATATTTAATTTATTATATGATATGATGGTTGTTATGAAAATTATATTTCGGTATATATTTTTGCACATGAGATATAATCCCAATAAACACTAATTATCGACTGATTTATTACGTTGATGTGTAATTGATTTTTTTTTGCAAATTCGCGATAATATATCGCGGTGTTGAAGCAATTTTTACATAACACACAAAATTTTTAAAAAAAAGGTTTTAAGTCGAATAAATCGAATTATATTTGAGATAAAAATTTTTGGATATTACATTCAATTTCAGCGTTAAATTTCATATTGATTTGATATAAAATATATTTAATTTACTGCATATTCAAAATTTTCGAAAAAAAAATTCTAACTCGAATAAGTCGAAAAATATTCGAGGTAAAAAATTTGATTTTATATTCGTAATCTACGTTAAATTTCACATAAAATGTATATTTTAAATATCCATAAAATTAATTTTGATTTTTGTGTTATAAAAGTAGAACCGGACCCAGTATTACTTCTCGAAGTCTAAACTTAAACTTATATTTTATACAATGTAAACTGATAAATGTTGAAATGAAAAACATAGTAATTATCAAAGAATAGTATGAATTGGTTATGAATAGGAATTGGTATTATATTGAAGTAAAGTCCAGATATCTATCATAGTTAAATCAATCCCATAGATCCCTACAGTCTATACAAATAAATGCTTATACATTGGATTCAATGTAATTATCAGTTTTAAAGAACGACTCTTTCTATAAACATTTTACTATAAACAAAAAACTATTGATTATCAAATTATTAGGTAAATTTTTATGATTACCAGCTATTACTATGCATTCATTTTTAAGTTGTGAGCACTTAATTGATATGTTTTTGATTATTTTCACTATAAAAAGTGAATGAAAAATTGTATAATTCAATTGATTTATGCGTTAAATAAAAGTTTGTAAAAATATTATAGTGTGAATTAATTCTATAATAGTGAATATACTGTGAAAACTGTGTCCATTCGAGCAAACCGTACGCCGAGACTAACAGAACGCACGACCGACGACACGCAGGACAGACGACTCGAACGGTAAAGTCAAAGTAAAATTGTTTACTAAATTTATTATGTAAAAATAGTGTGATAAACATTAGGGTAACCAGGGGTAGGAAAGCGCCCAATGTTTAAATAGTACACCGACCCACCCCTTAAGCATGTGATAAGGTTGTGGTCATCCCATTTGTGAAGGAAAGACATATGGGATCACCACTGCCTTGCCTTCCGCCGAGCCTGTCTTGTACACGCTTTGGAAGTGTGGCCATTATAGCCTTGGTGTAGATTCACCCGAACGTCCTCTCTCATAGATTCAGCCTCTGTATTGGGCGTTCAGCCCCTCCCCTATCTTAAGCATTACGACACGCGCCCATGTTGGACATGGCCGCCATTGCCTTAGATGGTACACCTGTACCCGATCCCCCATAGACTTAGCTGTTGTATTGGGCGTTCAGCCCCTCCCCTATGTTAAGCATTACGACACGCGCCCATGTTGGACATGGCCGCCATCGCCTTAGCATTTGGTACACCTGTACCCGATCCCCCATAGATATAGTCTTTGTATTGGGCGTTCAGCCCTTCCCCTATGTTAAGCATTACGACTCACGCTCATGTTGGAAATGGCCGCCATCGCCTTAGCATTGGTACACTTGTACCCGATCCCCATAGACTTAAACTCTGTAATGGGCGTTCAGCCCCTTCCCTATGTTAAACATTACGACTCGTGCCCATGTTGGACATGGCCACCATCGCCTTAGCATTGGTACACCTGTACCCAATTCCCATAAACTTAGCTCTGTATTGACTCAATGTTACACTCCTTCGAGACTCTCCCCGTACATGTTAACATAGATATCTGCACCAACTATTGCATATTTATAAATAATCAAAATAAACAATTATTGAATGAGAGTGAAAGCATGTTTAAGAGAGAATCGGAGACCAGTTATGTGGGGAAAGCTTCGGTATAGGCATAACCACATAACAATATTAACAAAGTTTATATAAAAATAAATAGTTAATAATAAATTGGATTAGTACTCCCAGTGCAAATATATAAAATCATTTCAATTTGTTTTATAATTATTATTATAATTTAGTTATTTTTTATAATAAGCAAATCGTCTCTAATGATTTATTGTAAGGTTTGATAAATAATTTGTATTCGTTTTGAAAACTTTTTCACAGTCTAAACTAAAAACATATAAAATTTTATTATCATATGAAATAACTTATTGATATCAATGCCATCCGAGAACCGTTTGCTCAGTAACTCTGTACTCAAGGCCAACATTGCTGCATTAGTGTTGCCAATCATTTCAACCACAGGTCGTTGCACAATACGACTATTGTTCTCGAACTTAAGTCGACAGCTACTTCGTCACAACAGTGTAGTCGTTGAACAACTACATGTTTTCAATATGACTAATTTAACCTTGCTACATACTTTGTACACAATTCACACATATATCTAAAGTGAATAACATCCTGTATTCATGGCATATAAGCTAATGCTAAACAATATTCTATAAGCATTCTGTATCCAGACCTAAACATATTAACATCTATTTTATTATAATAAATAAAGTTATATTCAAAACCAACTAAATAACAACATTATTAATTAGAAATACCTTTGGCCACTCTATA